GTGCATGATAAATGATCTATTTTCGCATTGATGTGGAAATTATGCGCACATCAGGTATGTCACGTTAAGAAAACTAGATCAAAGTAAATAGCCTAAATACTAATCTGTAAAGCGGACACCGTTTTGTGTTAACGTCATCAATTTCTACTCTGCAAAGCAATGACACCAGCCCATAGACTTGTGCTACTAGACCGAGTACCTTCATGTCCACCGTCCTTTCCTCTCTCTCTAACCCCCCGCCCAAAAAAACAAAACAAAAAAACCCCCCAAAAAACCAACAACAAACAAACAAAAAACCCCCAACAACAAACAAACAAAAAAACCAAAAAAAACCCAACCCCAAATAAAACCTCAAAAATCAACAACAACAAAACCACTTCGATGGGAAGCGTGCACCTTCATGGTCACACCATTGAGTGAATCATATAAAGAGCAAAAAATTCAGTTTTTCAAGCGATCTACAGTCAAGATTAAACGGGATCTTTCCCTCCTTGCCCTTCATGTGGCTCAAAGTGAGTCAAACAGTGGGTTCGGCAGTGAACTGGAAATACGTCAGAGGTGTTGATCTAGGATATTTCAATACAGGTCTTTGTGTCCGCAACAATATCGATCTGAGGACAGAGACCGTGGTTTCTCCCATTGGCTGCTCATCAGTCAAAGAGAATTGACGAACCTCGATGCCTCCAATTATCTTCGGACTATTCAAGTGATTTCCTCTGCTCTTCGCGATTCAATTTTCTCTTGGATAGAATTGGGATATAGCCAAGAGAGTGAGAAAGAGCGATTGGATTGACACGTTGTTTATTTGAAGGGCTGGATGACAGACAACAGTAACTTCTAAAGATTTCTACACCCTGCAAGTATTGATCTTACGCCATTCTTTTGTATTCCTGTAACGTTATGCCCCTGATGTCTCGTTTCGAACTTATTTGTAAGCGTTAATTCACAATGACGGAAATTAATCCACACCTGAGTTAGTTAGATTATAATGTTATTTTAGTGCTATCTCTCTCTCCTTCTCCCCCTCTCTCTCTCTCTCTCTCTCTCTCT